TTGCTGCCCACAGCGCGAACTTGAACCACATCCACGCTGCGAACCTGTGGAACAAACTGGGCAAGCAGCGCATCGAGCGGCGGCACGAGGGGCGGCTTGAGCAGCTGGTGCAGCGCACGCTCGACCTGGTTTCTTCGTGCCGAGCACGCGAGCTGGCCAACGTGTCTCACGGCGTTGCAAAGTGCGGCCTGCAGGCGAGGGTGGTGCACCCGTTGTTCGTAGCGGTGGCGGAGGCGGCGGTGCGCGGCGGGCTGGCTGGCTTCAACCCTCAGGACATGGCCAACACGGTGTGGGCGTATGTGACGGCGGGCGTGGCTGCGGACGCGCTGTACGCGGCGGTGGCGGAGGCGGCGGTGCGCAGCGGGCTGGCTGGCTTCAACCCTCAGAACCTGGCCATGACGGTGAGGGCGTACGCGACGGCGGGCGTGGCTGCGGACGCGCTCTACGAGGCGGTGGCGGAGGCGGTGGTGCGCGGCGGGCTGGCTGGCTTCAACCCTCAGTCCCTGGCCAACACGGTGTGGGCGTATGCGACGGCGGGCGTGGCTGCGGACGAGCTGTACGCGGCGGTGGCGGAGGCGGCGGTGCGCGGCGGGCTGGCTGGCTTCAAGCCTCAGGAACTGGCCAACACGGTGTGGGCGTACGCGACGGCGGGCGTGGCTGCGGACGAGCTGTACGCGGCGGTGGCGGAGGCGGCGGTGCGCGGCGGGCTGGCTGGCTTCAACCCTCAGAACCTGGCCAACACGGTGTGGGCGTATGCGACGGCAGACCATTATCACCAGGCGCTGCTTGTCAACTGCTCGCGCGTGATCAGCGACTCGCTCTCGCGGGATCCGTCGAGGTGGAGCGAGGAAGCCCGCCGTCAGCTTCACCAGTGGCAGCTCTGGCTCTTTTTGGAACACGCCGCAGACGCGCAGCAGCACCTTCTCTCCGAGTCCGAGCGGCGGCTCTGCTGCGACGCCATGCACGATACACAAGTGAGGGTCTCGGCGCTGCAGCGCTCCGTCGCGGCTGCCCTCGCCGCCGTCCGTTTCGGCTTCGAGGAGGAGTACGTCGAGCCGCGCACCGGCTACTCGCTCGACCTGGCGCTGCCCTCTTCACGCATCGCGATCGAGGTGGACGGCCCGACTCACTTCCTGCTGCCCGACGGCCGGGGTGTGCGCAAACCCAACGGGCACACGCTAATCAAGCGGCGCCTCCTCGCGGCGGCCGGCTGGCGGGTGATCAGCGTTCCGTTCTTCGAGTGGGACGGCTTGCATTCGGCCGGTGAGCGGCAAGCCTACCTGGAGTGGGTGGTCGCCTCGCAATAGTAGTCTACTCTTGTACCACCGAGCGCGCCCCCCCCAGAGAAAAGCTGTGTGAGAGAGAGCCCGCGGCGACAACATATCTCATATGTGTAGAGCCGTACTGTAGTCCGTGTTTACAAGTTGCGGGACATCTTTCTTCTTACATCAGACTTGTGTGAGGAGAGTGAGGTACACCGCACGTACTCGTAAAGGGAGAGGACCCTGAGTTGACCAGGGGTTGTGCGCTGGGCCCTCCTGCTCGGCTCCAGCCAGTAGACAAGTCTTGTCATCAACAGAGTAGAAGGATCTGACCTCGGGGCCGATGTGACCAAGCGCTGGTAGCGTGGTTTAACCTCACACCCATGGTCTCACAGTGTGCCGGCAGTCGCCGAGCAGTGTCGCTCACACAAGCCGCAGCACAAGTGACTGAGGGCCAGTGAGGGCGAGCCCATCGCTGTCACAGCTGTGGCAGCCGCACAATAGGCTGTGTCAACTGTGCAGAGTGTGTGAGCAGCAGAGGAGCTGCTCTCCAGGCTTCTGTCGCAAAGAGCTGCATGCCACCGAAAGCGCTGTCGAGGTTCGCCGAGCGCGGCGCAGGTTGAGGGAAGCCGCCACCGACGAGCGCGTTGGACTTTTCACTCCGGACAAAGACGGGCACACAGCGGACGGTGCGGGGCGTGTGCCCGTCATAGCGGCGAGGCGCGGGACCGTCTGTGGCGAAGTGGGTCGCGTCCCTCGATTTCCTCAACTCACGGTCCTCTCCCCGTACTGTGGTGCCCCAAAACAGCCAACACGCAACAGGGTTCGAGGGTGTACACTCCTTATCTTCGTACTTAAGGTACTTCGAATAAAATTGCATGTCGCCGCCTGCATATCTCGCCGCCTGCATGTCGCCGCCCGCATAAAATTGCATGTCTCCGCCTTCGGCCTCCCCGCCGCCCGCCTCCGCGCCAGGCCTCCACGGCCCGCCGCCCATCCAAGCGCCTCCTGAGCGGCATGCGGCCGGCGGCGGTCCGCCTGGTGGGGCCAGCGGCGGCCCGTCTGGCGAGGCCGGCACCGCGGACCAGCTCGCTGCTCTGTGGAAGCGATGGAGGTACCATTCTCGATGGTCGTGGGGGCACGCCCTGCCGGCCGGGCAGCCCGCCCCGGAGATCGCGCGATACGTTGCAAGCGTGATGTGATATAGGAGTACCTCGTCAGCGGAGTCGTCCTCGCCGCGGGCAGCGGCGCGAGCTTTGTTGGGCTGCTGTGGGTGTGGAATGCGGTGCTCAAAGGTCAGGAGCTCGACTGGACTCGATGCACGATGCCCTCACTTCTCGCTGCCGGCTGCGCCCTGCTCTCCACCCTGCTGCTGCTGCTGCTGCTGCGAAAGGTTGTTACATTTTCCATCTTCGCCGTCGGCGCTGCGGCCGGCGTCGTCGGGGCTCTCTCCCTCCGCTCATTCCTCTACGCCGAGAACCCGGCACGCTGCGTTGTTCTGCGCCGCGCCCGCGGCAGCTCGGTGCAATCTTGGTCTCGTGTCATTCGCTCCAGGCGCTGGTCGACGACTCCGACTTCTCAACCTTCTTTGTCGGCCTCACCGCCGCCTCCGGGCTTGCCTGCGGCGTCATCGCCGTCTGCCTCGAGCGTCCGGTCCTGCTCCTCGCGTCGTGCTGCATTGGCGGGTGCGAGTGTCGCAAACACCGTCTCCATTTGGTGTATACTCGCTACTGCTAGCACGCAACGGACCACCAACCATCCGTCCCAGGTACGCCTTCGCCGTCGCTGTCTCCGGCCTTGTGTCCCTCCGCCATAACGAACCCCTCGCAGCGTGGGCCTTCCTGCTGGTGGCATTGCTCGCAGCCACAACGGGTCTGATCGTACAGGTCTGCGTAACCCGCGTGCGATGCGGCAAGAAGAGGGAACCCAAGGGTCACACGCGAATGATGAAGTCGAAAGCGTGATGGAAAGCAGGGCGTGGCCGCCTTTTTGGCCACCCACCCTCACCACCTCCAAAATGAGAAGTGACCCGAGCCGCCGGGTGCCCCGCAGCGGCCTCGTTGGACCAGAAGAACCGGTCCGCGAGTGCTCCGCAGCAACCTCGCTGAGCCAGAACGTCGGCTCGCGAGGTGGGGTGCTAGTATGAGCCCGACCCAGGTCGTAGTGGTTCTTGCTCCCAGGACCCAGCGCTTGTGCGCTTCGGCGGTTAGTGGTGCACTAACCTCCGAGAAACCCATCGGGTCGCTCCTCATCGCAGACCCTGTCAGCAGTCCTCCTCCGGGAATGTACGAGTACGTAATTAGGGGCCTAGAGAACACCACCTCTCTCTTTTCTCCCAGTAAGCTGAAAACGTACACTGAAACTCCCTCTCTAAACATCGCGGAACACCTTCGAAGCATCAAGAGTCCCCCCCAGAACTATGTGTAAACCCCGAATTCTTGATGAAGTGTCGAGGCACGCGCACGCGAAACGCGACGTGCACGGCACCCCCTACCTCGACCGAACTGGTGACAAAGCTCCCCCCGTCTGCGCATTGGCCCTGCTCGCTGCGAGCAGCCCCTGCAACGCCGCCCCCAGCCGCACCCGCCCTCGCGGGGGCCTCTGACCCCAGTGGTCTGCGCGCTCGGCCTGCGCAGGACAGAGTGCCCGAGAGGATCTAGCATGGCAAAGAACCATGACTTGCATGCGCGGCGGTGGAGGAGTCGCGAGAGCCTGCCCAAGCTGCCACTCTCCGCCTGCTTCGGGCGTGCCGCCGACGGCTCCCTCGAGTCCAGCAGCCGCGAAGTGCTGCAGCAGTTCCGGCTTGAGTGCCTCGCTGAGGCGCGATCCTCTGTGCAGTCCTTCTTGCAGCGGGAACGCGAGCTGATGGCGCGGCTTCCCGGCTCGCTCGGCGGCGCCAACGAGGAGGCCGCTGCCCTCTTCTCGGAGGTGGCCGCCTTCCGCGCTGCGGCCCTGCGCGAGCGGGCGCGGTTGCAGGTGGCATCTCTCCCTCACGCCGCCTTGCCCCCCCCCCCCCTCCCTGTCCGCGTTCGCTCCCCTCCCCCCTCCCCCTCACAACACTCTCTGCCCGTGCAGCGCGTTTGCTGGGCCTGTGACGGCATGCTGCGGGAGCGGCTGCAGCGCACGAGCAGCCCGGGCAGCGGCGTGGCAGCGGCCGACGTCAGCGGCGGCGCCAGGCCTGATGCGGACGCGGACCCCTCACCGCTCGTGGAGATGCTCGCGTCGGACCCTTCCTTTTGCGCTTTTGACCTGTCGCTGCAGCATTCGCTGCTCTTTGAGGAGTTGGCACGGTGGCAGGAGGCGGACGCGCGGACACGGCTGGCGCCAAAGTCGAGCAACCGCATGATCGCCGCCTCTCCGTCAGCCAGCGCTTCCCCCCTCTTGCCCCTCTCGCCGCAGCCGCCCGTGCGGCGCGCTTGGTCAAGGCGGCTAGACTACGGCGGCGGCGAGGGGGACGACATCTTTGAGTGGCGAGGCTAGCGGCGGGGATCGCGCCGCCCCCAGCGCTTTGCATGTAGCGTGCGCGGTCCGGCGGGGCGGGATGTTGACGCTGGCACGGGCCGGCGCACATAAGGTGGCGGAGATGAGCTTTGGCTTTTGCAGAGTCAGTGCTCCCCTGAGCATGAGCATGACTGATGCACCAGCATGAAACTGGTGAAGACGATGGTACAATGGGTCGTGTTGTGCAGTGCACATCTCTGTGCTCTCTGTGGACCCAAGCTGCGCACTGGAGAGAGCGTGATGGGTGTTCGCGATAAGACCAAGAGCCACATACACCCATACGCCGGGAGAACAGCACACCGCACCCGTCGACCTGCCCTTAACGGTAACAGAATGCGGCACGCGCCGCGCCGCTCGCGTGTCGCGAGCCACGCGCGGCCATCGTTCTCGCTACTTCACCCCACGGCTGCTCTTTCCCGCGCGCACGCCAACGCTCTCCACACAGCGCCGCGCGCTGCCCGCGCACCCGAGCGTCACACATGTTGGTCGGGGCGAGAGAGTGGGGGAGAGTCACGACTCGAGCTTTGATGCGCCTCATTCGAGCTCTTCTCCGCGCTGTCGGCGCCCACCAGCGACTTTCGCTCAGCGGCGTCCGCATCCGGACACCACGAGGTGCAGCAATCGATCGGCAAGGCGTTCCCTACGGAGCAAGAGGGAGAGACGCTGCGGAAACGGAGAGGGGACAGCGACGGCGTCGTCGAGCGGCAAGGCGGAGCCCCTTCCCTATCCCATCTTCTCCCAGCCAGCGACCAACTGCAGCGGCTTCTTCATCTCAGGCGGACGCGGGCCACGAGGTGGCGGCGGAGGCAGCGGTGGGGGTGACAGCGGAGGGGGTGGCGGCGGAGGCAGCGGTGGGGGTGGCAGTGGAGGTGGTGGAGGTGGCGGAGGTGGCGGTGGTGGCGGAGGTGGCGGAGGTGGCGGAGGTGGACTGGCAGCAAGCAGACGGCCGTGGTTGGGCCACGCCTCGTAATCTCGGGTAATCTCGGGTAATCTCGGGTAATCTCGAGTGTGCCTCGCGGCCACACCTCGGCGGTTGCATCTCGGCTGCCCCCGCACGCGAGGACCACCCCCGTGCCGAGTGCGTGGGCCTCTCCACTCTCCTCTCTCACCGTAGAGCAGGATTGCCAGCCCGACGAGGCACACGCCAAAGACAAACGTGGGGGTGATCTGAAAGTCGAAGAGAAAGTACCTGCGCGGAGGGGCCGCAGCGTGTGAGCAGACGCCGCCCACGGCGAGCGGCGGCGCGTGGCGGGCGGAGCGCACGAGGCGACGGAGGAGACGATGATCGCGACCGCCTGCGCGAACCCGCGCACCTAGTACCATACCTCCGCAGTATCGAACCCAGCCTGGGTTCGGTCCCGTGGGTGGTGCGGTCTCGCGCACGATGTTGTCGGCGTACTTGATCGTGATTGCGACGAGCAGGCCGCCCGCGACGTTCATCATGACGGTCGCCCACGTGTAGGCCCCGAAGCCGTGCAGCCACCCCTCGCTCGCGCGCGCCGCGTCCTCCTCCTGCAGCACCGTCGCCGTCGCGACGAGCCCGCAGTAGATAGCGAGCTGGATGTTGCGCAGCCTGTTCACAGCTACGGGTGTGAAGAGACGCTGTTCATAGTAGATAGCGAGCTGGATGTTGCGCAGCCAGAGCGACGGCTTCCGCGACCCCTTGAGCATCCGCTCAAAGTAGACGGAGGCGAAGGAGGTGCACAGCGCCGCCGTCAGCATCGCCACGATACCGAGCGCGACATCCGAGCCCATCGCATGTGCGCTCGGAGGCACTGCCGCGGGAGCGCCGGCGCCGGCCGCCAACTGGCGATCCAGAAGCGGCGGAGGAGGCACTGCGGGCGGGTGGCCCGGGTGGCCCTTGCTGCCGTGCCCCTTGAAGAGCATCTTCGGTCCGGCGCCATAAGGGCTGGAGAGCAGCCTGCCGCCCGCCATACCGCTGCCCCTCGCAGGCTCGGCCGCGTACTTCTCCAGCAGCTTGGAGAGGATCCCCTGCACTGAGATGACGCCGAGCACGAGGCTCGAGAGGCCGGCCCACTGGGACAGGCCGAGCTGCTTGCCGAGCAGGGCGATGGAGAAGAGGGCGGTGAAGAGTATCTTGGTCTGGTACGTCACGTGCGCCACCGCCGCGTCCAGGTGCGACAGCCCGATGAACAGGCAGTTGTTTTGCACCGTGTAGAGCACCGCAGGGATGCCGAGCTGCACCCACTCCATGGCATTCTCGCGCAGGTCGGCGCGGATGGCGCGAATCGCCTCGAGCGGCCCACCCGTCTCGTGCATGTACAGTCCCATGCTCAGCAGCAGCTTGACTCCCTCCTGCACCAGCACCGCCACGCGGGTCGAGTACGGCGTGCCCGGCACGTTGCGCGACAGCTTCATCAGCAGGACAACGCCCGCATTCTGGAATATGAAGATGGCGAGCGCGCCCCACTTGAGGGCAGCCGCGCTCGGCATGGCCCCCCAGCGGCAAAGTT